TGGGTCAAGGACTGAAGAGGCAGAGCGATGAAGGACATACCGGTCCCTTACTTTTTGTAATATTCGGTCTTTATATTTCATTTTTTTATCTGTTCATTCTCTTATTCAACACTTTTGAGCTGTTTGCTGGGAAAAAATTCCACTGAGAAGCTTCCAGGCTGGTGGGGAGGCAGATGAGTAAAAACATAATTACAGACAGTGAAGTGAGTTCTAACAGGGATTTTATACATAGAGTGGGGGTGGACTGGTGAATCCTTAAGATATATGGAATTAGGTAAAAACGTGCATTCCCACTTGGGGTGATATTGTCCTTAAGGGGGGCACAAATTGGTTCTTTGGGTTCGAAAATTCTTAGACATTATAATGGTTTGTGACCCTCCAAGCTCAACCCTACTTGAAAAAATCTTATTCCTTTCTATTTAATTTTTCTTCTGAGATAAACTTAAATTTATTTTTTTCTCCTTAGAGGTTGTGAGAGTAATAATAATAATAAAAGCTATAACCATGGGGACCAGATAGATGAATTTACCTCAGTAACTCAGGCTGTCTGTCTAATTCTACCAAGCTGGTTTTTGTGGCTGTTTTCCAGTTAGTTTAATTTGTCTGTTTATTTTTGAGAGAGAGAGACAGAGCACTAGTGGGGGAGGGGCAGAGAGAGGGAGACAGAATCTGAAGGAGGCTCCAGGTTCAGAGCTATCAGCACAGAGCTCCATGCGGGGCCTGAACCCACAAACCATGAGATCATGACCCAAGCTGAAGTTGGACGCTTAACCTACTGAGCCACCCAGACACCCAGTGTCTTCTAAGTTAGTTTAAAAGCCACAGTCGATTTGGCTGATGTGTCCAAAAATTTGTCCTTACTGTACTGATTAAAATTTTCCTGATTCGTGGCCTGATATGGAGCAACCCCCCTCCTCCAGCCTCATAAAATAGGAAAATGAATTCTCAAACATTCCTCTAGTTTCCTCAGATATTGGTTACCTCTGGAGAAGCATGGAAAACCAACTTTTGACCTCGGTTTCCCTGCTGCAAAACAAAGCTCCTAGGTCAAATGTTGACACTGTAGAAAAGAGGCGTTTGGGATAGATGCTAATCCATATGATTAATTACAAACAGATAATGGTTGAATTTGCAAATATGCTTCCTTCCACTCTTGCAGAGGTTAAGATATCAAATTTTAATACACAGAAAAAGCCATAAAATCCCATTGCAAGGGTGTAAGTGTTTCATTCTTTTTGTTTGCAGTTTTTATCCTTTGGGCTAACTGTAATTACCACTTCTATATCTCACCCAAAACGTAACTTAAGAAATTGCTGAGCCCAATATCTGAGATTTTGGGGGACAGCTTTGAAAAGACTTTTTCACTATATAGAGATATTTAAGCAGGAGATCATAAGACAAGTTGGAAAACGCACTAAGTGTTGGATTCTACCAGCCAAGAAAGCAACAGTGATAATCACTGAGCCACTTGAGTGAAGAAGAAGGAAGGTGACCTCAGGGGGAGTGAAGAATGAAAAGAGTCACCAGAATTGCTTACCTGCAATGACTTCGTTGAAAAAGAATAACAGAACTTCCGGTTCCCCCTTCCACCAAAGTTTAAAAAATACGGGGCGCCTGGGTGGCTCAGTCAGTTTAGCATCCAACTTCGGCTCAGGTCATGATCTCATGGGTTCGAGCCCCGCGTCAGGCTCTCTGCTGACAGCTCGGAGCCTGGAACCTGCTTCGGATTCTGTGTCTCCCTCTCTCTCTGCCCCTCCCCTGCTCACGCTGTTTCTCTTTCTCTTTCAGAAATAAATAAAACATTAACAAAATTCAAAGTTTAAAAAATAAAAAGCCCTACCACCCACAAAGATGTCCTGGGTAGGCGTAAGGAGTCCTTGCATACTTTAGGGGGTGTGAGCAGAAAACCTGGCTTAGGACTCATTGCCAACAAAAGACAGAGCAAGGCAGCTGGAGCTGGTGGCTTCCTGGAAACAGGGCCCGGTGGGAAGGGGGGTGGGGCTGGACAGTGCTGCTTGAATAGCACTTCAATCCCTCTGGGTCAGAAAGGGCTACTGTAGATATAAACCTTTACATATAAGCCCTTCTTGTGTGAAGTAGCCGCTTGCCCTGTCACATACCATAGTCACACAGACAGGGACACAAAAGCCATTTGTTAACGCTTCAGACAAGGCTGAAGGGGAGTCATGAGAAGGTTGACCCACATTCCTAGGGAATGTAACGCACAATTCCTCTCATTCACACCATATCGGTATTGACTGTTTTATTGTAGCCTTGTTATTGTGGCTGTTTCCCTTTCATGATACCATTTTCCAAAGTTTAAGAGTTGACTGCTAACATTTGCTTCACTTTAAAGCTTGGTGTGAAAGTTTTTTGGGTGTGTGTGTGTGTGTGTGTGTGTGTGTTCACACACAAGAATGACCAAGAGGCATTTTTGTTTAAAGGAAACTGTTTACTAAAAGCCCAAATATTTCCATCTTTTTATCCACAATGCTAGGTGTGTTTGAGTCCGTGATTCTTCTTGTCAACTAAAGATGGACATATTTGGAGTTGGCTGTGGTTTAGTGGAAAGAGGAGTGGATTCAGAAGCAGAGGAGGTGATGGTTTTTAGCTGTGGGCAAACCAGTGAATACAGGCGAGCTTTCATTTCTTCATCTGTAAAATGGGCATACTGATATATATTTGATAGGGATTTGATAGCATAATGGGTCCTGTAAAACTGCAGAGGGTTTTGAAACTGTAATGTGGTTTTATAATTAGGCTGCGATGAGCCATCACCTACACTTCCCCTCCAAGATCTTCCTACATATTCTTCATTCCAGTTGATCTGCCGCAGTCGATGCATGGTGAGCATTTTTAAGAAAAAATTTTTTAATGTTTTATTTATTTCTGAGAGAGAGAGACAGAGTGAACAGGGGAGGGTCAGAGAGAGAAGGAGACACAGAATCGGAAGCAGGCTCCAGGCTCTGAGCTATCAGCACAGAGCCTGACGTGGGGCTTGAACCCACAAGCTGTGAGATCATGACCTGAGCCGAAGTTGGACACTCAACCGACTGAACCACCCAGGCGCCCCACATGCTGAGCATTTTATGCAGCCTAGAGTTATATTCCTGACCTTAGGTCTCATTAAATCCATCTCCTCTCCAACAAGACTGTGATAGTTTCCCTTTCGTAAAGATTAACTTCTAAAACTCTTAGCCCAGCAGGTGAGGTCCTCCTTGGCCCAACCCCAAACTGCTTTTCCACACTTCTCTTGGTGATGCACTTCCCACCACCCCAAGGCTTTGGCTGCTCCACACTTTTGCCTTGCCCAGACTATGCCAGGGACTTACAAGACCTTTCCTGACCTTTGCTCAGCCTGGAACGCCATTCCTCCCACTCAGGGGGAAAAAAATCTCATCATTTAAATTCCAAGTTACAAATTCATCTTATCCTCATCAGAAGCAATGGTCTCTTCTCCCGACTTCTTAGAGCATAATGTTTGTAACTTTATTTAACCCTGTTTGAATTCTATTTAAACCCACTTGCTGTGAATCTATGATTACCATCACTATTTACTGAACATCCTCTATCTTTATAATAAAGTCAATAAATGTCACAACGCTGGTCCATTGCTTCAGGTAGAGCAAGGCCCTGTTTAATAAAACATGAGGAATACTCACATTCTGCTTTGTGTTTGGTTAGCTGTTTATTTCTTCACCAGATGGCAAGTATATCAAGGGCAAGGTCTATGATTTATTTAGGTCTCTGTTGTCTACGGTGATTGGCAAAGAGCCTTGGATGCGTTGGTAACAAAAGCTACAACAAAATGTTAGGTTAATAAGATACATATTACGAAGGTTTAGATCTTTTGGTGGGAAAAAAAATATTAACCCAAGGGCAATAATCCAATGTGATTTGGAAATGGGTATGCTTTGAGAGAGGTCCTGAAAAGAAATGACTAAGTGGGATTTTCTTTTTTTTTTTTTTTTGCATGTGAAAATGGGCTCTGAGTTTTGGGTTTTAAAGAGGATCTCTTTAAAGAGCCCCACCTCCCTGTGTTGACTTCTCTTGTAGGTTTCTGTGGTGGGTTCTTGGTGAGCAGAGAATTCTCATCTCGTCTCCTTGATACCCCCACAACCCTGAATTGTTGCCAGCAAACAATTTAACTCCTTTTTCATTTTGACAAACGAACTCCTCCAGGATATCACTGTTGAAATATCAGCTGCCGCGTGGCCCATGGCCTTCTGGTGTAATTTCCTACGGCTTTTCTAGGTGGATGGGTGTCATCTGAATTAATGATAAAGCCATTCCATTTTATTAGGTAATTAATAAATGCTGGGGAAGGAGGATCTTGGGTGATACATATTTGCCTCTTCCTGTATTTACAGGAAACATAAACCAAAAATGAAAGCTACTTCGGGCCACTTATATCAAAGCGACTCTGGACCCGTTGGGTCCCGTTACGACTGCACCAAGCTCATGAAAAGACCAAGCTTCTGACGGCTTGTGTAAACATGCATACACTTCCGTAGCGTGTAGCCTTTACTTTTCCTTTAGCATACGGGGGGCGGAGGGGACCCTAATACGCCTCACCTCCTGCAAGCACAAGCGCAGGCAGAACTCACATACAGTGTGGTTTCACAATGCAGCCTATGTGGAGAGGCTTCTTTTCCCACAGGGCCCTGGTTGGCTTGTGATGGCGGTCTTCTATGTTTTCAAATGTTGTGCATTTCTCTTTTGCACCTGGCATGAAAAAATAAGACAGTGTGAAAAGAAACACTATGAAAATTTCTCCCCATCCTGTCTGTTATGGGTCCTATAGTGTCCCCTTCCACCCGAAGATATGTGGAAATCCCAACCTCAGTGAGTAACCTTACTTGGAAATAGGGTCATTGCAGATGGGATCAGCTAAACTGAGGTCATACTGGAGATGGGTGTGTCCTTAATGCAATCGGATTGGTTACAGGAGGGAAATTTGGACAGAGTCACAGAGGGAGAAGGTCCTGCGATGGCAGAGGCAGAGATTAGAGCAACTGTAAACCAAGGAGCGCTCAGGATGGCCAGCCACCTCTAGAAGTTAGGAAGAGGCAAAAAAGGATCTACCCAGAGTTTTAGAGGAAGCAAGGCCCTGCTAACACCTTGGTTTTGGACTTGAAGCCTCCAGAACTGTAAGAGAACAAATTTCTACTGTTTTAAGTCATGCAGTTTGTGACTCTTTGTTACGGCAGCGCTAGGAAACTAACATATTATCTCCCCCACCCCCACTTTGGTCTTTCTGTCCAGAGGCAAATAATGTTAACACTTCTGATGGTAATACTTTATTTTAATTTAAAAATCAATGTGTTTGATTTTTGAATAGGCGGTACATTCACATGGGTCCAAAAAATACATAAAAACTTATATAGTGAAAAAAGTCTTCCTGATAATCCATCCCTCATCAGCCCATTCTCCCATCTTGCCTCTGTCTCTCTACCATGCTCATTCATGTGGTTAGTTAGTTTATACATATTGTAGATTTTTATCTCCCCTTTACTAGGAATCTATTACACCATTGTTCTTCACCTTGCCTTTTTTTTTCTTATAAAAAGTTTTCTCTAATCCTTTTCCGATCAAAAGTTCCATGGCTTAGAGACTGATGAATACAGTTACTGCGACAGGGTAAAGGAGAAGAAAGTGTGGACTTAGTTAAGGTCAGCTTCCATCTCAGCATCAGAATTGGGCTGACTCTTGGGCGCCTGTGTGGCTCAGTCAGTTAAACATCTGGCTCTTGATCTCAGCTCAGGTCTGGGAGTGCAAGCCCTGCGTTGGGCTCCACATTGGGCATGAAGCCTACTTAAAAAACAAATCGGGCTCGCTCTCTAGTATCTGTGCTTATGGGCTCATAAGTTGTAGGAAAGATTATGTCAGCCAAGGCTGGAATGTCTAGAACACCTCTCTTTTTTTTTTTTTTTAACGTTTTATTTCTGAGAGAGAGAGAGAGAGACAGCATGAGCAGGGGAGGGTCAGAGAGAGAGGGAGACACAGAATCTGAAGCAGGCTCCAGGCTCTGAGCTGTCAGCACAGAGTCCCGTGGGGCTTGAACCCACAGACTGTGTGACCTGAGCCGAAGTCAGACACTTAACCGACTGAGCCACCCAGGTCCCCAGAACACTGCTCCTTATATCAGAAGTTATAGATTCAGGGAAATCAGGGGCAGCTGAGATTCAATCTTCCAGGCCTCAAGTAGATATTTGGCATTGGTGGCAGTGAATCAGGGTGAGCGTGGATGAGCTGGCCTTTGTATCTCTTGAGAGTCTTCAAGGTCGGGGGGAAGGCTTCAAGGGAGCCAGGCTTCTAAGACCTCTGCCAGTCAATGTTGGTGGGCATGCGGTTTGCTGAGTTGAGGAGGAAGGGGTCAACAGAGAATGGGGGTCAGTTAGAAACATTGACTTTGGAATCAGATGCTTGGGTCTGCGTTCTTATTCCCAGCTGGTGACTTGGCCTAGAGCCTCTCTGTGCTTCAGAATCATTGTCTGCAAAATGACAATTGTTATGAGAAGTCAAGGAGATCTTTGGTTTGAGTGTTAGTACTCTGTGTCTTATGCTTTAATGTCAAGAAGGAGATGAGATGAAGACAGCAATGCTTCATCTAAAACTGAAAAACTGAAAGCCGGCTGGCTTAGGCTGGACTAAGGCAAGGGTGTTTTTTTTTTTTTTTTTAATTTAAATTAAAAAATTTTTTTCTGAGTAGGTTAGCCTCAGGAGAGGCTGGGGGGGACTGGGGATGCATATAATGAAAATACACAGGCTGAGGGGAATTTGCACTTCTTTTGACTTCAATTAACTTATAGAACACATAAGAAATTATATGCCAATTAGTACCAATTATTTTCTGTGATGACCATTGGTCGTTTCACAATCTTTTTTTATGTTTTATTTATTTATGAGAGAGAGAGAGAGACAGAGTGAGCAGGAGAGGGACAGAAAGAGAGGGAGACACAGAGAAGAGAACTGCAAGATCGTGGCCTGGGAGCCGAAGCTGGACGCTTAACCAACTGAGCCACCCGGGTGCCCCTGTCGTTTTGCAATCTTGACAGCTGCGTTATGCTGGGTCTGTGATGCTTGATCTGTGATGTCCCATACTGGGCCATCTCCTGCAGGCCATTTGTACCCACCATCCTCTGACAGCTTAGCCAATTGCAGGGACTATTGTCATATTTATTCTTTGTTCAGATTCAGACTACCCTTTATACTTCCTTATTGCCTAGAATTGGTAATATAGTACGTCCTAAGTTCATAAAAATGTTGCCTTTTAACATCACCAGCGAAGTGACTGGGGCGGGGAGCAAATTCACATTGTGTCCCTGTAGAGATTTCAAAGCATCTTTCATGGTTTCAATGCACACTTTCTGTTAAAGATCAATGTAAGTGGAGTTCAGACTCTCAGAAATCCTCGTACAGCAAGGGTCCCTTAGATCTCTTTTAGGGTGAGAGTTCTCTCTCTTTTATTTTTAAGTTTATTTATTTATTTTGAGACAGAGAGTGCTAGCACAAGCAGAGGAGGGGCAGAGAGAGAGAGAGAGAGAGAATCCCAAGCAGGCTCCACATTGTTGGTGCAGCACCCCATATGGGGCTCAAACTCACAAACTGCGAGATCATGACTTGAGCCAAATCAGGCAGTTAATCAACGGAGCCACCCAGGTGCCCCAAGAGTTCTCTTAATTCAGATATTTGGAAAAGTCTATTCAGGGAAAGAACTATGATAGTACAGGCAACACCATTTGTCTGTTCATTCGACATGTGTTCATCGAGGAGTTCATATATGCCAGGCTCCTTAAGAATGATAGCTATCTAGTGGCGCCGGGGTGGCCCAGTCACTTAAGTGACTGACTTCAGCTCAGGTCATGATCTCATGGTTCATGGGTTCAAGTCCTGCATTGGGCTCTCTGTTCTCATCACAGCACAGAGACTGCTTGGGATTCTCTCTCTCCTTCTCTCTCTATCCCTCCCCCCACTCATGCTCTCTCTCTCTCTCAAAAATAAATAAACATTAAAAAAAGAATGATAGCTATCTAGATGAGGGAAAAGCTACTGGCATCTTTGAAAAATATAAAGCAGTAAAACCTTGGATCCCTGGTAACTTGTTCTGTGAGTGTTCTGCAAGACAAGCAAATATTTCTAACAAATTTTCACTTGATAAACAAGCAATGTCTTGCAATAGGAGTAGTGCGTGATGCCGAATGTCATATGATTACAACTGAGACAATGGCTCTTCTCTCCCTCCCCCCTCTCTTTCTCTTTCTCTTGCTGCAGGATTGTGGGTGATTGTCTCCCATGCTTGGATGCTGGGTCTCAGGCCGCCATGTTTGAAAGAGATCAGTGATTTTTCAGAATGTTGGAAGGTGCCCACAACTGGTGTTAATGTACTTTTTTTTGTCAATTCAAAGCACCTATGGACAGTCTTTTGCTTCTCCATTCAAGAGGAAGCTTATGAATGCTTTGCTTCATTCTAGGGCAGACAATCTGCAGATAAAGACCCTTTCCTCTGCTGTTTATTGCCAGTGACATTAAATACAGTATATGACAAGCATTTATTAATACTGTAGTGTAGCCAACATTCATGTGAGCATATACAATGGGCCCCTAACACCAGCCACAGAGGTTTTCAAAGGTAAATGCAGGTTAATTTGTTTATTTTTCTTTATATTTTGTATTTCTTTTATTATTTTGATCATATTACAATACTGTAATCATTTTTATATGAGTATTTTTTGAGTTGTGGAATGAATCATCTGAGTTTCCATTATTTATTTATATTTTGTGTTTTTATTTATTTAGGAGAGACAGAGAGAGCACAAGTGGGGGAGGGGCAGAGAGAGAGAGGGAGACACAGATCTGAAGCAGGCTCCAGGCTCTGAGCTGTCAGCATGGAGCCTGATGTGGGGCTCGAGCTTGAGAACTGCAAGATCATGACCTGAGCCAAAGTCGGATGCTTAACTGACTGAGCCACCCAGGTGCCCCTGAGTTTCCGTTATTTCTTATGGGGAAATCCACTTTGATATACAAATGCTTTGGATTACAAGGATGTTTCTGGAACATATTATGCTCAAAAATCAAGGTTTAACTGTATATTGTCAAAACAAACATACTTTTTTATTAATTGGCATTTCATGTCATGAGTGTAATATGTTCTGTCCCATTACAGGTCATAGTTATCAACATTTTAGGTCTTAAGGTTGAAAGTAATGGAGGCTTTAAAAAAAATTCTTTTTTATTTGTTTCATTTACGTCTTTATGGTTTTATTTTTATTTATTTATTTATTTATTTATTTATTTATTTATTTATTTTACATAGACTTCAAGCCCTATGCAGAACCCAATGTGGGGCTTGAACCTACAACCCTGAGATCAAGATCTGAGCTGAGATCGAGTCAAACGCTTAACCAACTGAGCCACCCAGGCGTCCCTTCATTTATTTTTTTTAAAGTAAACTCTGCGCCCAATATGTAGCTCAAGTATCCTGAGATCAAGTATCCCGAGATCAAGAGTCACATGCACTCTGACTGAACCAGCCGGGCTCCTCTGTATGGAGACATTTTTTGGTCAAGTTCATCTCATGAGGGGAGAGCCTCTATGAACGGTGTAGCAGACACAACCTGGATGGGATCTGAACCAGGAATCTTCCTCCTGGAAAATAATACTGAGTCTGGAAGAAATTAAGGCGAGGCAGCAGCCTCTTGCCTCGTGCCCATCCAAGGACGATCCCCCCCATCTCCCGCCCCCTCAGGAAGCAAGGATTCTCACATAAAGCTGTTTGACTTAAGTTTGATTCACCTAGAACCATATTATCATCCAACTTACGTTTCTCTATCAACACCACAAGGGTAAAAGAGATTTTATCGAGACTTTAAAAAGCTTGAGGTATTGCTGTTGAAAATATTCTTTAGGCTGGTAATCTTACATGAAAAGGAAATGAACTCTCTTGTGTGTTCTTAGTGAACCTTACTGATTTGCTGTGATCGTATTTTCCTTTTCTTGTGTTCACAAGGCTTCCCCTCACCCCTGTGTTTAGTTTTCTTGAATTTTGGCAATGAAAAAGGTCAGAACCACTTATCTAAATTTGCAGAGTATCGTCTTTTGTAAAACCCCATACTTTATTTTGATCTGATTTTCCAGAATCTCATCTGAT